TATCGCTGAAGATCCTCGGAAGAATTTCTACCGGAAACAAACAAACAAACAAGCAGATACGTAACAATGTATAATATTACTGGTAATAAATAAAGTGTACATGCACGCACACACAAATATGTTTGTTTAATTTCTTCTCATCGTTCGCTGTACATTTTGAATTGTACAAAATTCGACGACACGAAGCAGACTGTCTTTGGTGTATTTAGAATATATGCAATGCTGAGAAAACAACATAGTTTCTCAACCATGAGGTTTCACTTCTTGGATATTTTATAGCCTGTTTCTACCTCGGTTCTTGAGGTAGAGGAATTTTCGGACTGTGTGACGGAGATTTCGGTCTATCACCGTGACCCTGATGTCAAGCCATTCTTTTAAACCCTAAGAATCCATAGTCGGTGGCAGTCCCTAACACATTCCCGCTGCACGTGCAACATTTGCATTTTCTAAAATTCTAATAACACAAATTTAAGGCTAATTGTTATAAGCTTTCTCTCTGTGTATGTTGTTTAATCCATGTAAGCAGTTTTTGACCATGATTTTTTTTCATGTTGGCCGAAATGTGATGTTATTCTTCATATCACTCTGCTTCTGTGCTTATTATCATATCATTTTGATAGCAATTTAAACCTGCTACATTTCGTGTGAGTATTCGCATTGCAAAACTAATGACGAACCTCCTTGTCAACACGACACGAGAGTTCATTTGATAAGTAAAAACAACAGTAAAATCGACTCTCCTCCCTTTCCTTCAAGGAAGAAACAGGTTATTTTACAACAAAGTTTACCAGTGTGATTTGCATCAGCAGGCCCGAACAATCGAAGCACTGAAATATATGTATTCTGTGATCATCAAAAAGTTTTGTTAAAGAGAAAATTGACACGTGTCACAAGCTTTCAGTTATATTGTGAAACTTGGAATAATACTTCTGGTTCTTCAATGCTAACTTAAGTGAACGAAACTGGTAAACATACCTATTGCTTTATTTAGCGGTTTCTTTTACGTTATAGTTCAGGCTATTTTCTAGTTGTTTAGGGAAGTTTTATGCATCCGGAGTTTGATCATGACTTACGTCGAAGCTTGCTTTCAAATTGTTAATTAGATTAAAATTGCTAACCACACTATTAGAGAAAGTATTTATATTGACAAAAGTGAATATGGGTGATGATAACCATTCTGCCAGTCGACTTTTATTTTAAGTGAAATTATGTTAGTTTATTGTTATTCGTATACATATGACCAAATATTACAGTATTATAATATCCTAAAAGTTTCAAGTAAAAAAATACAAAATATTTCCAAATTTACGAGGAGCATACACAAATCGCATTGAAAACGAAATATTCTTCTTAAATACGTGGGCCCGGCATGGCCAGGTGGTTAGGGCACTCAACTCGCAATCTGCGAATCCCCGTCACACCAAACATGCTCGCCCTTTCAGCCGTGGGGGCGTTATAATGTGACGGTCAATCCCACTATTCGTTGGTAAAAGAGTAGCCCAAGAGCTGGCGGTGGGTGGTGATGACTAGCTGCCTTCCCTCTAGTCTTACACTGCTAAATTAGGGACGGCTAGCGCAGATAGCTTTGCGTGAAATTCAAAACAAACAATCTTAAATACGTCGCACCTTTAAACGTTCTATAGCTACCAGGTGTGTGTGTGATATTTTTATTTAGTACACCACATTGAAAGAAGTAAAATATTTGCTATTTTTTAAAATAGTTTATTTAAATTTATAAAGCTTCAAACATTGAACCGACTTTTTGGATATAAACCTGTAAAATTATAAACGGACTTTTCTGTAGTTACAATTTAACTGAACGTTATTTGAAGTTGGAGAAAAGTCTGTTTATAATTCTACACATTAATTTACCTACGTTATGAGTCTTAAACAACAACTGTAAAATGGTATGTTATATTGTGATGTGTAGACGTTTATCTCTGCCCCATCCCCAGTGGCTTATGTTAAAAACCGGGTTTCGATACCCGTGATGAGCAAAGCAAAGATAGCTCCTTGTGTAACTTAGTGCTGGCCAACAGACAAACGTGATGAGCGTGTCTTTGGACCACAACTTCAGATATTTTTTCGGTTATTCATCGCATGCTACAAAGAGGGTTTGAAGAGCTTATCACGTGGAATTTCTTACTGAAATTGACTTTTTATTCTACACTGCTCATATACATCACTACACGTATTTGGTTGGGTGTTAAACTATCTTTTACCAGTTTTTTTTTTTTCTCTCTCAGCTAATTTGATATTGTACTTATATATCGGCAATTTTTTTTATATTGATTAATTATCTTTATTACAAAACTCAACAAGGGATCATAAATGTTATTTTTAAACGCGTTTACTTCGACTATTTGGCATGATTGTAACGTAGTGCAAAACTTTTAATTTTCAGTTATATACACAATTTTTTCAGTCAAATAATTCATTTTACGATATATATAATATTCAAAAATCATAAAATTAAAAGTCACGTAGAGATTATAGTAAAACAAAATGATTTTACTACACATTTTTTAAAATACTTTGTGTGATAATGAAAATCTCTGTCAAACCAATCTTGGAAGTGGTTTTCAATTTACAACAGATTTTGTATATCCAGTAGTACACGTAATACATCAATCTCTTAAAAAAACATGTTTGGATGATGAAGTCAATTGAATAATTAAGTGTCACAAGGCCACGAATATGAAAATATAATACATGTATGTATAAAGCAGCAATATTACTTGATTTTAAAATGTCATTAACATTGACGTCATAAGCGTTATGGTAACCACGGAGATAATTTACATTTAACGTCAAAGGAGCGCATAGCACCATTGAAAATTTGTGCAGACCTAATGTATTTTGATCAGTTCTGTAAACATCCATGGTTTCAAATAACAGATACGTTTATGATAATGTTTATTGAGATTTCATATTAATGCTATATATATATATTAATCATTCTGTAGACGCTTAAGTCACGTGCGGTTGTGTATATTGCAGTATGTATCTTGTTTTGTATTTAATGTCAGGTAGCCTAATAAACGATGTTTTCACATCAGCACGGGCCTGTTGTCAAACAGGGTTAACTTATTATCATTGATATGGAAGTTTGAGATTTGTTTTTAATTGCGGCTTCATTGTTGCTGTTGGGTGATCCAGATTACTGTAAAAAATACAGTTAACAGCGAGGCTACCCAGTATAATATAATAAATTATCACATGTAAAGACTTGCGTTTTGCTTATAATTAAAACAAGATTTATCTAAACCAGTAAACTCAAAATTAGTGTAAGCAGTTAACAAGACAAACGTTTTACGAGTGATCAAGAGTTTATGTGTTTGAGTGAAAATTTAGGACGAATAAAGCATTATAGGTGATTTAACACATTTGCACTAACTAGTTAGTTAAAAATATTACAGAACCTTGAAAACTGATTTCAGAATTTGGATTATTGTAAGAACTCGTGTTTTGTGACCATATCTACTAAACCTGAATTAATGCAGTTTAAAATAAAATTTCAGAACATAAGCTGGCCTATATATCTTGCACAATGTGTTTTTTTTAGGGGGGGGGGATTTGACCATTTATATGGTCGAAAGATTTAAGACACAAATCTAGAAATATTGTTTAAGACTCATATTAACGTACTGAATATTTAAGAACTCCGTGAATTCCTACGTCATTAAATTTAAAATCGGACGTAGGAAGACAACGAAGGTGCTCTTTAATGAAGTAATTTCACTGTCACTCTGTGGATGTATGTACTAACTACATCAGTTGCCACGGTTACAGCGCATATTAGACGTAAAGATAGTTTCACTCGTGAATGCCGTGATCATTGTGTTCAAATTTACTTGCCGTGTAGTAGGTTGGTTCACTTTCTTTTGAAAAAAGTCTTTGGTGTGGAGTACTATATTGTATCTTTTTCTCAGAGGAATAAAAAAGCTACCCAAGAAATACCTAAACAATCGCACATAAATAGTTACTAAATTTCAGCACTGATAGTTGATGTAACAGCTGACTAGGCGAGAGCTGAAACAGTTTTCATATTTATATCTTACAGCTGAATATAGCTACTAATAAAAAAATTGTAGTTGTTATTCTAGTCTTTAATTTAAATATAAATTAAAACTTATTATCTTGTGAGAAAAAAAAATCTTTGGTTGATTAATATCTAAGTACTTACAATAAGGTCGTTACCATAGATAGTAACATATAACAAACCTAGTAGAAATTAACACTGGAACAAAAAATAGCTCTCATGGAAAGCAACACTGTGAGTTATAGATTTTTGATGAGTAAAACCTTAATTAGTAGAGTTTCACTACATGGATTGGTCTGAAATATTATCTATGCATTCATATTCACACACATTAAAATTACAAAGATTCTGGATATAGAAATCAAATATTTCATTCAGTGATTAAAACACAATCAATATGTATTTCTTGTTGGCCTGAAAAATTCTTAACCAAAATAACCACTATGAATTAGATGGATGAATGCGTAATGGAACGTTGTATGTTTGTAATAAAGTTTTCTTCATTACCCTTTCAAGCAATCTCTGAACTTTTACTTCATTGATGTTTCTTGTTTACCATAACGTTTTATAAAATAGAAATGCATCTTACATGTTGGTGAACAAGAAACATGCAGAACCATCCATGCTAGTGCTATATTGGTCAGACAACTAAAAAAACTAGCTTTATACGAAAAATAGAAGTCATTCAGACCAAAAGTGCTAATTCAGGTAATATAGTAGTAAACCTCAAACACATGTTAATGGAAGAAATTCACCAATGTCTCTTACCTGTCTCTCAACAGACATTTTTAGGTGCACATATATTCTTGAATTCAATATGTTTATACATTTTTAGTTTTTTCTTCTTGTCTTAATTCACATTAGTAGTAATAATTGGTGAAATTCTCACATTTAATGATAATTATTTATAATTTGAAATATAAAAATTATTATGACCATTTTTTTTTATCCTCTCCAGTGAAGTTTGACTGTCAAAAGAGGACAGTGGCTCATCTGACCTGAGGGATGCCAGTAAGACGACGACCAAGAGGAAGACGCTGGAGAAAAACAATAAAACTGGTTAAAACCAACAGGTTCGATAGCTGGAGTTATCCATGGCTTGTTGAGATATTGACAGAAAAAGATGTTGATTGTAACATTGAACACTGTTTAACATCTTTTAGATTAGCAGGACACAATAGACACTTGATCGGAGTGCCAAAGAAGGTAACACATATTCATCTGGTATTACTTACGGGAATGTTGTAGTTCATACCCATGCACACTACTTGACAATGACTGTTAATATCTTTGTATAGAAAATTATGTCACATGTGATAATTATTTTAGAAATATAGTTTACACTAGGTAAGAAAACCAACTTTACTGTAAAAATAACTGTACATAAATCGTATATTGAAATATTTTATAGACTTAAGTGAAAGTGAGGAAAAATATTCAACCACACTACATCTGCAATATCTAACGGTGACTTATGATAGTGAAATGGTCTTCCTTGTGTTATTAAATAATTAAAATATATTGGATGGTTGATGTAAAATATGTGTACCATTACTTTTTATAGTTGCAAGTCAGAGAATGTTTTTGTTGTTCCTTTGAGTTGTAAGTCTTACTAGATCATAGAATAGATTTGTGGTGAGGGCACACTTAAACCACAGTTCACTTTATATTTAAACTGGTATGACAACTTTAAGACATACCTATGCTGATTATTATTTTCTTTTTTTGTCAAATAGGCTTTTATTTAAATAAAATTCTGTAGGTGGGTGGTCAGAATAATTTACTTGTAATGTATCAAGTGTGCTAAACAAATGTGCATCAGGTATTTCAGTTTTCAAAGTTTGTTTAGTAAAAGCATCTTGCAGAGATCTGTCACAAACAGTTGAACTACACATATGTAAATCATTTTTATTACCAGATAGATTTTAACAGAGATGTAGGTACTGCCCTGCACAAAATTTTAGTTTTCATGGGAGAGTCCCCGTTAGGAAGAGGATTAAGGTTACTTTTATGACATTTTGTTTGTTTTCAATTGGAGATGTATGCCTAGTTGTAAGAGCAACTGTTCAAAGTATGTCTGAACACTCTTTACGGGGTTTTCTTAACTAGCAGTAGTACATTGACATCTTCCTCTCTTTTACCACTTTACAGTTATAATAATAGTTTGTTAAAATAGAGAATTAACGTTTTTTTTCTGTGTAAAGATGTATTATTTTGGCATAGATCCACAGGATATACATTTATTTAAGTATGTTATTTAGTTACTGGTATGATTGGTTGTTATTAATGGAAAGGTTACATTTGAAATGCTGTTTTACTGCTTTCTAAAGCAAAGTGAGTCCGAAAATTCTAAAACATAGACACAGGATGTTTCTTCTGATTTGCCCCTAAAGTTTATGTGCTTTACAAAAAGAAAAAAAAAAGCAAACATATTGGTTATTTAAAAGAGCACTAATTAGATTTTATTTCTTCTATATTTTCCAACTGATTCATCATAAAATTTGATGATAGCACAACTTACTCCACATCAGTTTTAAAGTTTTTAGATTGGATGTTTGAGAATTTCCAAAGTAAGTTATCAAACAGTTAATTCAACTGGAAATGGAAAGTTTAAGATAACAGCTTTTAACTCATTTATAATTTTCTATTTTTCCTTGTGGCTAAACAAACTTGAAGCTTCATAAACAAGATTTCACTAAATAATTTTTACATGTTTTTTTGTAATCGTGGTGGGTTTCAAGAGACATCTGTAATACAATACTTAAAACAGATTTAAAAACCCTCACTGAAGTAATAATATTGTGCAGCTAGCCAAATGCATGAACATGGTCATTTTATATTTAAAAACAAGAAACGTTCAGGCTACTTTGAAATTGATTATGTTTATGTTTGACTGAGAAGGTGAAAAAATACCTTATTTGAAAGGTAGAACTACTTATAAATAGAACTGGGCAAATAGTGGAATTTGCTAATTGATTAATTAATCAGTTACATTCAATTAATTGATTATTCTCATGTAAGATATGGATATTTGGAATAACTTAATTTTGATAAAATAGTTAGCACAAAGGATCACATATGAAGTGAAATAGACTTAAAATAAAACCCAAAACTCGAGCGTTTTCAAATAGTTCACTATTCTTCTTCAGGAGAACAAAGAAGAAGAATAGTCAACTTTTTGAAAGCTTTAGAATAACTTAAAATAGCAGTAATCACTAATTTCAATTAGTTGATTATTTTTGTGACATCAGTCAAGATAATAATAATAATTTTGATTAATCAGTTATATTACATGATGCTAGTCAGTGTAATCAATGCTAAAAGGTAATTAATTGATTATATCATTTAATTTGATTTAGTTGCCCAGTTCTTTTTTTTTATAAAAAACCTGTAAATGATTTAAAAGCCACTAATTTTTTTTAGGAAGAGGAAGTATGTTTTTGTAAAGAAACATCTTTGAAATACTGGTTTTTATGTTAATGTTTAAAGTTTCCATTCCTAAAGTTTTGTTAGTGCTACACTCCAATGAAAACTTTAATATTTATCATTAAGACCATAGAGCAAGCAACACTTCTTAATGGCAGTAAACTCTTACTAGTCACCTGAGAACTAACATCTTTATCAATAAGGTTATAGAGCAAACAATACTTCAGAATGTTGGAAAACTATTCCTAGTTCAGTGAAAATTAACATTTCTATGGTTTAATGTTTTAGCATTCACTGTTTGTAATTGGCTTAAAATTCTTTTTAGTCCAGTATGAAATAACATCTTTATGATCAAAGCTGTAGTAACTACAATTTCTAAAATGATTAATTAAGCTTGATTTTATGAAAAAAATTTAAAAGTTTAATCACCAACTTTTATGAATGATATTTCTGTAAAAAGACTAAAAAAAGAATGATGTATCATAAAATGGGACATTGAAATCTTTTCATTCTTTTTTTCAGACAGTTGAGTAAACCTTAATTTTGTTTTAACACTTTTATGTGTTCTTTGTATTACTTTAGCAACTATTTGATTGTCTGAACAAGCACATACACGTCACAAGTGACTTTTTGCTGTAGTGAAATTTGTTTTTTCTGTGTTTTCTTGTGGTTGAATTGAAAAAGATATAATGTGAAATATTTCTTGTTTTTATCTTTGTATAATATTTTTGATTTACACTTGTACTAAATCAGTGTTCATAAACATACCTAACAAAGGAAGACAAATTAAAACTTTTTGTATCCATACATGTTGTCTTGCAGATGTCAACTACCTTGCATTCATGGCTGAATAGATATTTCTTATCGTCTAGCACTGTTGCAGGACTTGTTTTGTAACAACCATCATAGCACAATCCTTTTTTACATATACAAGGCTTAGTATCAAGCATGTTGTACAAGATTATTTGCCTGAGGCCTTAGAAGTCAATATCCTAGTAATTTTCTTGGTTGTGTACAGTATGTAACAAATATACAAGTTTCTTTTGCATATAAACAGGAGGAGTTTAAACTAACCATATAGGGTCAGAATTGAGCTACATAAGTATACAAAGATAATACAGCGTGATATATAATATGGTTACACCACATGCATTGCTAAAAGTAAAATAAATTAGAGAAGTAGTGTTTGAGGTAAAATTGAAACAATTAAAGTTTAACATTATTAATTTATGTAGATGTATAAATGCATGTGTATATCCATTTTTTTTCCACAGTATGTATGAGTATGAAAGTGAAAATGACTAAAATAAATGTTATGAAATTAAGTCAATGCTATACAAAAATAAACTTTAATGTAAATAATGTTAAGGAAATATACAATAAACTGGTGTTTTATTAAATTCAGAACTCTAGAATACTTAAGTTCATTTGTTTGTTTACCCATATTTATGTATAAACTTAATTTTTCATAGAAAAGTTTTAAAGTTATCAAAAATATTTGTTTAATCATAATAGAAAAGCAGTTTCTCATTTGAAAAACAGTTTATGTTTTAAAAGTACATTAACCTTTTTTTTTTCTTCTCTGAAACAAACTTATGGGACATCCAAGATATTAGCATCAAGAAATTCAGGGGTATTTGATTCATGTAATTTATTTTTGTAGCACAACAAGAAGCAGAAACAGATGCTCAAAAAACAAGAGGAAAGGGCAAACTTGCATCAGAACAACAAGCAAGAAAATATATGTTTTGATAATAAACTTATATCAAATATAGATAAAGATCATGTAACAGAAAGAAAGTCCGTTATAAAGGGTGTGTATCTTAAATGTTTTGATGCATAGTTTTTACACTTATGTTTGTAATATTTCCCTTTGTTTTGTTTTTTTTCAATTGAAAGGGTATCTTTGAAAGTTCATCTGTAGTTATGTAAAAATAATGCTTTTTGAATGATAATAGTCACCTCTAAAATTATGTGTGTATAATGTGAAATCATACTTATAAGTTAACAGATTTTAGTTTGTTTCTACAGAACATAATTCATCTGGTCATAAGAATTCCTGTAAATCGAAAAAAGATGTATTAATTTGTATTAGATAAGTTGTAAGGTCTTTTGTGATTGTTTTTATTCAGTGTTAGAAGGTAATAATAATCATATTTTAATGGCACACTTATTGATGTCAGTTTATTGTAAACTTAGACATGACAAACTGTACAACATATATGTAAAATAGTTTATTTGAAACTTATACAAGAAACACTTATACATGTAGATTGTACGGGTAAAATATTAAACCTGATAGAAAATATATAAGACATATTGGAGTTCACATTTATATATAAATATCATTTTATGCTTTCGTATTTCATTTTTGAAAATGTTCATTTTGGCTATTTCTTCTATAACTTAATTAGGCTATGGACTTACTAAATATTAAAGTTATTTGATGTTTACTTTGATTGGATAATTATTGTGTTAAGTTTTTATGTGAAAATAGTATGATTTTATAGTTGTTGTTTTTTCCAAATTAGTAATGTGCAATTCAACAATCAATAAAAATTAGGTTTAATAAAAGTTATTTTTTGAAGTAATCCAGATAAATAGTTGACTTGTGTTTTTCTTTTCAGAAACACTTTTTGAATAATGAAATTGAGACACCAGACCCAGCAAGTGCACTGTTTTCACCCGTGTACCAGCTGCTGCAAGGTATAAAATGTTTAGTTTGTAAAAGCTTGTTGGTCTAGAACAATGTGTATGTGAATTGTATAAAATACTTTTTGAAGTCTATTTAAATCACTTTTTTTTTAATTCTTGGTTTGATCGGGATAGACCTTCTGAACACAGTCATCAATTTAACAAACATAACCAAGTTTTTCAAGCATTACAGACTGTGTTTGTTTAAGATATACAGACACTGAAAAATTGTAAGCACTTCTTAGTGTTTATTTTTTGTCATCTTGAAATCACATCTTGTAGGTTGAGTTAATCAAAATACTTGATTCAACCTGCAAAATGACAATAATACATGGAAATTTCAATCTCTTGATAAATATATCTACATCATATTTCAATGTACATGGTTAAGAAAGTGATTAAGTTTTGCAACAAAGATAATTCATGTTTTAGAATGCGAGGGAGACCTGGAGAAACCAAATATTACTTCGTTAGAAGCAGCAGCAGTATCCATTGATGTTGAGGGTGTCGTGGATGGATCACATTTTCCCCCACATACGACAGGTGTGTATTTTTTTTTCCCTTAATGATTTTACTTCACAGATTTTTCTAATCATACAAAATAGAATAATAGTTTAGTTATAAACATTTCTTGTTCTATCACATTATTGTCAAATAGCTATAACTTAAGTAAAGATTATCAAAAGAAAACAATAAATACAATCATGGTAACTATTTGTTTCTATGCTGTATTTTTGTACAGTGGTATGAGGATGTTGTAGCTTTACCAAAGCTTCTTAGTACATTTTTTTTGAGAATATTCTTATGGCTATGTAACCATTGAATGAGAATATGTTTTGTGAAGCAGCACAGGTATGCATAGAATGTTATATAATTGTAATACACTGGATGCCGCTTATTGTGATCACGGATATTGTAATCAGTGCTTCGATTTTTATTATCACTTTTAATCAGCTTAACCATCCCAAGGTCAAGCGACCTGAGGAAGGTTCACCGTAAGATAGGGTGTGGCTAAGTTGTCATTAAAATCTCCTATGCTTTTGCATTTCCTTTCCGTAATTATAGTACAGTTGTTTTCGTTCCTTCATGAAAGACTGTGCTCCAACAAATTACAATTTTTGTTAACCCTCTTTAATAATGGAAGAAGTGCATAAGAAACAGAAAGATCTAACCCTTGAAGAAAAAGTTGCCATTTTAGAATGCTATGATAAATTACCAAAAATGGGGCAAAGTAATGCAGTAGAGCAATTAAAATTTTTCCATTCTCTATTGTGTAAAATTTAAAAAAATCAAGCCAACATTGATAGGGGAGCAAAACAGAATGAAAACCCAAACTGTAAGAGAAAGCGCAGTGGAAAAGATGACTCGGTCAAATCATCATTAAAACTTTGGTTTCAATAATGTTCGTGAACATTATGCTCGTGTAAACAGATCACTGATGTGGCAGAAAGCGGCTTACAGCACAGATAAGGCAAGTTTCATAAAAAATATGAATATGAAAGTTTTATTAATGAATTGCTCCAAAAAAATAGTAGACTGTCAACTTTAAATGAATTTTTCTAATTCTTGTTTTAAATGTTTTTCCTTTCTTAATTGTTTTCAAATATGTTAATAAGCATAAAAATGCAGCTTTCAAACGTTTAGGTAATATATTTGCTACCCTATATCAATAAACATCACTGTAACTGCTGAATTTTTATTTCATTGGTTAACGTTATCATTTGGTTATTGTTATCAACACAACTTTGTCCCAACATGATCACAATAAGCAGCATCCAGTGTATATTTCAATTTTTCTGGTGACTTTTGTTAATTGTGGTTTTTGCTGATGATTTTTTAAACGAATTTGTTAGTCCAGTGGGAATTTAATGAATGTTGTTCAAAAAATTAAGATATATCTTTACATTTGTTTTTTAAGACTCATAATGTAGGTAAATAATATGTAGAACTTTACACAGACTTTTCTCTACCAGCCCGGCATGGCCAGGTGGTTAAGGCACTCGACTTGCAGTCTGAGAGTCACGGGTTCGAATCCCCGTTCCACCAAACATGCTCGCCCTTTCAGCCATGGGGGCATTATAATGTGAAGGTCAATCCCACTATTCATTGGTAAAAGAGTAGCCCAAGAGTTGTGGTGGGTGTCTCTAGTCTTACACTGCTAAATTAGGGATGGCTAGCGCAGATAGCCCTCGTGTAGCTTTGCACAAAATTCAAAACAAACAAACTTTTCTCTACATTGTTGTACGTTGAAGGCTCCAGTAAGAGGGCCGAAACCTTGCAAATAAAATATTTTAAAGTAGAGAAAAGTCTGTGTATAATTCTATCTGTATTTTGAAATTTTAGTTATTTTTACCAGGCTTATTGTGCATTAGTTTATGGTTAAATTCCCTTTTTATTTACCAGTGTTCTACAATTATGTGAATATAAAGCAAAATGAGCTTCAAAGTTGATGATGAGTGTCCTTAGCATACTAGAAATGTTTTGTGGAACTTTATTGTCACATGCTTTTGTACCCTTTAAAGCCAAATTGATGTGGGTACCTTTTGTTCTTTTATTCAGATTTAGTAAAGTGATGTGGGTACTTTTTTGTTCTTTCATTTAGATTTGGTAAATTGAGGTGGGTACCTTTTTGTTCTTTTATTCAGATTCGGTAAATTGATGTAGGTACCTTTCTGTTCTTTTATTCAGATTCGGTAAATTGATGTGGGCACCTTTCTGTTCTTTTATTCAGATTTGGTAAATTGATGTGGGTACCTTTCTGTTCTTTTATTCAGATTTGGTAAATTGATGTGGGTACCTTTTCATTCTTTTATTCAGAATCGGTAAATTGATGTGGGTACCTTTTCATTCTTTTATTCAGAATCGGTAGGTTGATGTGGGTACCTTTTTGTTCTTTTATTCAGAATCGGTAAGTTGATGCGGGTACCTTTTTGTTCTTTTATTTAGAATCGGTAAGTTGATGTGGGTACCTTTTTGTTCTTTTATTCAGAATCAGAAAGTTGATGTGGGTACCTTTTTCTTCTTTTATTCAGATTTGGTAAACTGATGTGGGTACCTTTTGTTCTTTTATTCAGATTCAGTGAATTCATTTATTATACTTTAAAGATTCGAGGTTCTTACAGCATTTTTTTATTTTACAAGCACTAAAATCCACACATATATCAATAGAACTTTCTTTTTAAAAAGAGACAAGATAATTATATATTCATGATTAATAATGTTATTATGAACTGTTACTATCTCAAAGTGTTTCTGGCTAATGTTCTTAAAATATGTTTTGTTTGTATTGCATTTGGCTATCAGGGAACATATTCTGGCCACACCTACAAATACATCAGACTTTTACAATTTAATAACCTACTTTTCAGACCATACACATGCAAGTATTTTTTTACATTGAATATAAGTAACTAGTAGTTGCAGGTAGCTATCACTTGTGCAGCACATAAAAGATTACACAAATACAATGATAAATTACACTGTAACTCTTCACACCTAGTTTTGTAATGATTTACTTTACCCATATGGTGTTAAGGCATGATTCATTAGGCTTATAATAAAGTTAAGTGTATAATATTTAACATTCTTTTATAACTGAGAAAAGATAGAATATGATGTAATTATTTTAAATTATATACTTTTTAAGTGTAGGATACAACAAAATAGTAAAGAAATTGCAGTTATTCTACTGTTTTATAATAAACATAACTATCTAATCCTTAGTATGTAAAAAAAAAAGTTTAAAAAAGATTCTAATGTGCAAGTTTTCATTTTATTCACAGTATTGGAAATGCCTTGCGAGATCTCTGAAACCCAAGATGTTTTTTCAGCTAGAGCTTGCCATTCTGAAACATCCCAGTATGATGTGCAGATATCAGTTTACAGTGCTGATTATCCTTCGCCTCAGGAAACTGAAGTGGTTGAAGAATGGGAGACATTTGACCCGTGGGTTTTTGAAATAAATATTAATTAAGAATTCTCGGAAGAAATATGTGATTTTTCATGTAAACTTATTAAAGCTTTCTTCATTAGAAAACTGTTATAAAAGTATGCTGAATAATGTTCAGAGGGTTGAGTATGCTATATTAAAACAGACTTCAAGCCTCACCATGTTGTTACAGTCCATGTTACCACATCCAATCTTGCTGTGTATGATGACTGTGCATCTGAAAATAGCCCTGCAGTGATCCTTGTATTTATGGATTCTCACATGCTACAAGACTTTGCTTACAATGGCTGGGGTATGGCTTGTTGCAGGTCACTATCTGGATTTCCATGTTTCCCTATATTGATTCATATTCCTTTGTTTTCCATTGTCATTAAGTACAAAGGATATCTTTGTATTTGAAACTCTAAATCCCCGATCTAAACAGATCTTTGTGATTTGAGTGTATGAATATTTTGTATTAAAATGTGCTGTAACGCACCTTTCTCAAAAGAGATCAGTTTTCAGCATCACACTACCTACAAAATTCCATATAATTCTAGAATGTAATTCTAATACATGCTGTTTCACCCTGACTTTATATTGGTTGTGGTTGTCCCATAATTTCTGACTCACTAATTCAAAATCATTTAATATGATATACTCAACTCTCTGTATTCGAAATTGATGCAAAAAAGAAATGAATCAAATTTTAAAAAAGTGATAGATAAGCATTAAACAGTAATTTATAGTTTAAGAATTTATTAGAAATAGGTAAATTGTTGTAATATTTGAGAAAAGACACTAAAAAGGTTAACTTGTGTTCCAGAATTTTAGAGTAAGTCAAGTACATTATAGGAATATAAATTAAGCAAGGCATATTTATTACCTGAATTTAATAGAATAAAGAAATATTGAAAACTGTGTTAAGTATTGTTATGGATAAAAATAAGAAGTTGTAGACAAGGAATTATTTTATTATTGATTATATCAGTTCTTCTGTTAAAATCTTGAAGCATGTATATTCCTTTTTTAACCAGAACATGTGGTTAAATTATTAACTTTTATTGGATGTATTTTGTCAAACTTTACAATGTGTACATGGCACTGTCTGTTTTTTGTTGTTTGTTTATTTGTTACTTTTTTTAACCAGAACATGTGTTTAAATTATAACTTCTATAGGATTTATTTTGTCAAACTTTATAATGTGTACATGGCACTGTCTGTTTTTGTTGTTTGTGTATTTGTTACTTTTTTAACCAGAACATGTGGTTAAATTATTAACTTCTGTTGGATGTATTTTGTCAAACTTTATAACATGTACATCATGGCTCTGTCTGTTTTTTTGTTTGTGTATTTGTTACATTTTTAACCAGAACATGTGTTTAAATTACAACTTCTATCAGATTTATTTTGTCAAACTTTATAATGTGTACATGGTACTGTCTGTTTTTGTTGTTTGTGTATTTGTCAAACTTTTTAACCAGAACATGTGGTTAAATTATTAACTTCTATTGGATGTATTTTGTCAAACTTTATAACATGTACATGGCTCTGTCTGTTTTTTGTTTGTGTATTTGTTACATTTTTAACCAGAACATGTGTTTAAATTACAACTTCCATCAGATTTATTTTGTCAAACTTTTTAATGTGTACATGGTACTGTCTGTTTTTGTTGTTTGTGTATTTGTCAAACTTTTTAACCAGAACATGTGGTTAAATTATTAACTTCTATTGGATGTATTTTGTCAAACTTTTTAATGTGTACATGGCACTGTCTGTTTTTGTTGTTTGTGTATTTGTTACTTTTTTTAACCAGAACATGTGATTAAATTATTAACTTCTATTGGATGTATTTTGTCAAACTTTGTAACGTGTACATGGCTCTGTCTGTTGTTTGTTTGTTTGTGTATTTATTACTATTTTACCATAACTCAGTTTTAAAATGTCAATTCTACTGGATTGAGTTTATCAAGCTTTCTGATATATATTTGAGCTTGTGTGTTTTCACTTTTCAAAAAGAAGTTAGAAACTTAAGTATGTGTGTGTGCATATATAAAGTTATTGAACACTGTTTTATCCATTTTGTTCAATTAATTTTGTGGGGGTGGCCCACATTTATATGACATACTTAATACAATTTCAAATTCTTCAGATATTACTTTATCAAACATCTGCCTCCACTCACCTCAGAAATGCTTGCCAGATGTCCAGCCTTGCCACTGAAAACTAGAAGTAGCCCTGAATTTTCCCTTGTGTTAGACTTGGTAAGTATGTAACTTAAAGAAAGTCTTAGATAAGTAATCAAAATTAATATCTGCTACGTGATTTTATATATTTTCATCACTTAGCTTTAGTCACTTGAATAATGTTTTTCTTTTTTTATTTGCATATCTTTACACAAGCACATAAATTACTTGCCACCCAATGGCTCAGCAACAAATCTTGGGACTTACAATACTAGAAATCAGGTTTCTCGTATAGGTTTAAAAGTTAGCATCTATTATTTTTCTGTTATCTTTCTTGACTAATTCATCATTATCTAAACTTTAGTTTAACTAATCTTTTTCATTGGAGTTAATTAAACTCTAATTATCATTTTTCATGACCTTTTTCCTTTCTACCACAAAATAATCTTTTGTGCTTTTACAATGTGGGTCTACTTTTAAGTATTTTAAAGGTCCCATTATAGTTTGTTCTTGTGATAAAATATTTTGTTACATTTCATTGCACATGCACAGGGTTGGTTCAATGGGGACTGAATGTTGTTTATAATTCCAAACGTACTACATGCAACTACATGAAATGTGGCAAGCTTATATTAAATTGTACATGAACAAAATTGGATGTGAGATATAAGTATTTATAGTCAATATATGTAAGTGAATTGACAACATCAGTCTTACTTGAACTATGACAAGTTGGAGTGCAAGGTGATATTGATGTGAAGAATAAGTATCCATCATACAGTTTGTATATTTCATTTTCATAGCATCTAAGACCACAGGTATGCATATCTACAGTTTATTTCAGTATCCCAGTATATTGTATATAATACATACTCTTTTTCTACCATGAACTTTCACTAAATCAGCAGTTTAGGGTAAAATGAATAACTGATAATTTTGACATCAAATACATAATACTGTGTTGAATGGCATTCTGTAAAAGGTCGTGGCATGTACACTCTGACCCCCACATGTGCACATATGATTAACTTTGCATTGTTCTTAGTTTCTTACATGTGCATAGATACTGTCCAAAATATCTTTAATTAAAAGACTTGGAATTCTACACATTTAAATTCTGTGGGCTTCACTGATAATTTTCTTCAGTCTTTATCCATAATTACTGTTAGTATGCCTAATAGATGCACAATGATAGAAAGAGTTTTCACTTTGCTTATTGTTTTTTTTTTTTTTACTTGCAAGCTTTAATCTTTATTCAAGTCTAGCTTACAGATGACCTTTAGGCAGGATTGAGAGCATACCATGAAAAAACAACAACAAAAAATGTAATATAGTTCTCTCATTATTCTTCTTAATTAGGTAATTCTTCACTTTTGAATGATTTATGAATCTTGATATGTTTTGCTTGTTTTCTATGGGTTTTTTTTAGCCAAGGGATCTTTTAACCTGATCATGTCTTTAAGTCAAACTAATACAATGAGTATAAATAAAGATGCAAGTTTATTTCTAAAAAGTTAAGAGCTCTCTCTCTCGCACTCAAAAAGCAAACCATAACATGGCTGAAGTATTTATATTATTTTATGAAGAAAAGTAGCTGTTAGAATAATATTTTTTATAATTAAACAAGATATCTTTGATCTTTATGAAATGATTTCTTCAACATAGTCCTATCATCCTAATCATAGTAATCCATAATTATATATTTGGGCTGGGTGTGGCAAATGGTTAACATGCCGGACTGTAATGTGAGAACCCATGATTTATGTCTTCTTGCCTCAAAGTTGTGCTCTGCTCTTTGTTGCTGTGGTGCATTATAAGAGTTATGGACAAATAAATCCCACTATTCCTTTAGAGTAACACAAGAGTTGACAGTGGATGCTGAAGAGTATTGACTAGCTGCTTTCCATGTAATCTGTCAGTTTAAAATTGGGCATGGCCAGTATAGATGGTTCTTGTGTAGCCTTGCACAAATATTTGAAGAAAAACAAATAATTTAAGCATTTTATTCAAATCCTTTTCTTACAGTGATGTTATGTTTTGTTTTAACTTCATCAGATATGTCAGCTGATTTAAAATAAATATAAATTAATTAATGTAAGATATGTACTGGAGTAAGTACAAGTTGTGAGATATGATTTGAAATTATTGTACTTATAAATTACATTAAAATGTTATAAGTTCTATAATGGTTCACATATAATTTCAGGATGAGACATTAGTCCATTGCAGCCTGACAGAACTTGAAGATGCAACTTTTACCTTTCCTGTTACCTTTCAGGAGGTAGATTATAAGGTCAGTTTTGTGTTAACCACTGTCTTCATCTGAATTGTTATTGATGCTCGAGATAATCATATTTTCAAGCTGAAAATTATAATGTTTTACTAGACAACCCATGACCCATTGGGTCACCCACTATTCAGAGGTTATGAAGACTTCAAGCTAATTTCAATCTTGCACCGAAATGAAGGTTTATTTTGAGATAATTTAATTAAATACTTCAATCCATTCATGTTATTCATAATTCAAGAAAAGATATTTGATTGTTGATCGGGAGTAAAAGTAAAGACCATTTCATTTTTCAAAAAAGTGAAGTCAGAGTTTTCAGGTATTGTGATGAATTAGTTCATTATGTTGTGGTCTTTCCTCTTAAACCTTCTACAAATAAGAAACAGTAACATTTTATTTTTTCTTCGAATTACCTATCATAACCAAGGCACATTATTGAGAAATTCTTCAAGACCTTGTTTTTGTCATCTTACACCTTTTAATGAAAATGGGAACATTGACAGGGAAATAGATTTGAACGAAGAAGTTTTGTAAAGAGCATGAACAGTAGTGTGATGTAAAATTACTCATGCTAAAAATTTTCATAAAAGTGACCCGAAAAACAGCGCTAATTCAGTAACCCGTGGCCTGATGAAGTTTCGTAAAGAGTGTGAACGGTAGTGTGAATGATTTTTTGACTGAGAAAATAAGCAAACAAACATATAATCTCAGTGTTTTAGTATATAGATAGATTGTTCAAGATCTTGTTTTGAAGATGGGAACATTGACAGGGAAATAATATAATATCCCAATCCTCGGCAAGAGGTTTTCGTTTATAAAATTTTGTTGTTGTACTCGGCTTGATTTTTATTTTATTACCTCCATAGTTACTATTTGCAAATAGTCAATAATATTGTAGGTCCATTTTATTGTTGTTCTTTCTACGCACCATTATAACACATTTTCATCTCATCATTTATTTTCTGTTGTGCATATATTGTTGTATAAACAAAGTTTTATAATAATGGAATGTACGAAAAGTGACCTGAAAAACGGGGCTAACTCGGTAACCCATGGCTCGATTTTAAAGAAACTTGTTTTATTCTGTTTCTATTCTCATTTCATTACAAATATGGTGGTATTGTGCACCATTTTTGCTGTATTTAATTACAGACAAGCACACACAAACAAACAATCTCAGAGTTTTAGTAGTATATAGATATTTGTCTCTTAAGTTTGTTAGTCTACTTTTATTTGATAGAAAGTTTAAAAAAGATATAGCATAAATAGTGTTATGATATACAAGATATTGATTGATTGGCAATCACATTAAATATAAGTGAGGTATTTAGAAGTTTTGTATTTAGAACACTTTCTAACGTACATGGTTATTTTTCTCTGGAATTAGAAAGCTATTTTTAATGCAAAGTTTTATTCATGAGAGATGAAACGGCAAAATTACTTGGACCATCCACTTGGAACTTGTGGACTTTTTTCCTCAGTATGATGGAAAAGGGAGAAGTTTTCTGAATAGTGAATTGATAACCTGCTCACAGATTTTATATTTTTATAAATTATCATATTTTCATTTTGTCAGGGATAACAGTCCACCATGTATGTAGACTGTTTAATCTGCCCATGAATTTTACATTTGCATCATATAAACTCTAGTAAATCATATTATTATTTTTTTAATTCTGTAATATTGTTGAAAAAATCATAATGAATATAGACACGTATACATTTGTAATGTGTAATAATTGTTGAACAAATAGACTTTCAGTTCAAGCTAGCAACATTTCTTACATCTGCTTGCCTGTGACTAGTAAACAGAACTAAACTATACACTTCTGAACTTGCTCGAGCTCTTTCTTACGTACCAAACATTACGTTTCATTGCAGTTTAGTAAAACAGAGCTTAAGATAATAAATTATACAAACGCATTACGGCTTTATACAAACATACCTGTATGATGTAAAGGTAATGTAGCCAAATTTTTGTTACTTTTAGCCTATAATGATAAGGTGAGTGGGTAAACTACATGTTAATTAGTCACAACACTAGTGAAATACTAAGAGAGACTTATAATTTATGTAACTACTTAGACTTACTAAATGATATAAATTGTTTAATTGTAGCTACATTAGTTTTATGTTTCTTTCCATTTGATTATAATTGATAATTTTCTGTTTGGCTGAGATTGTCACCTACTAATAAAATGTTTAATTTCTCTCCTCTTTTTAAGGTTTATGTGCGTACTAGACCATTTTTTCGGGAGTTTTTGGAGCATGTTTCCAAGATTTTTGAAGTGATTTTATTCACAGCATCCAAAAAAGTTTATGCTGACAAGCTGTTAAATTTACTAGACCCTGGCAGAAAACTAATAAAGTAAGGAAACATAGTCATAGTTCTTTACGACTGACCTCATTTCTTTTGTGTGCTATCATATTCTTAGATGTTAGTTTAATGCTGTATCATGTATTGGATTTTTTTTAAGAACACAGGTTAAAAGGTAATCAGAATATCAGACAGTAATTAAAGTTTTAGATAATGTACACTTAAAGGGGTTTGAACGCTGTATGAATAAATTATATAGACAAACAATTTTTAAATGTTTTTTCCACATGAAGTTCATAAGCAAAAATGTTGAGAAAAGTAACTATATTTCCAAAAAAATGTTTTCGTTGTAATTATTAGTTTATTCCTAAAAAGATAGTAAAGTTATGGACAGTTTAATGGTGTAGATTCTCACAGGTATTTGACAATTAACCTAAATAGAAATGTTCACTTTTATTTGCCTCAGAACACAATATTTTAATGTTTTGGGACTGAAAATGACTACTCAACAAGTAATAGTATGTTCCACCATCAATAAAATTCTACCTCATGCTTATAAATTATTGTTTGCCTACCTATTATTAAGAACAAAGTATCTTATTCTTACTTTTCCTTCTACTTTACAGTTTCTTTTCCTCTTTCATTTGGATTCTAATATTTTTTGGATAATCTCTCATCCTGATTGTTTTAACTTTAAGAGAAACAGCTGAGGAACCTTCTTATGACTGCATCCCCAGTATTTGCATTTCAGCAAATACCACATCTTCTAACTTTGCACTTGCTACTGAGACTAGAGCCAACATGGCTTTCAGACATTCTCCCAGTGTATCAGGGTTCTCACTAGGGTCTCACAGTGAAGGGTCCTGGACTCTCAACTTTTTTTTTTCAAGAGTCCCAGTGAGATTTTCAAGAGTCCTATAGGTAGAATTTAATAAAATCAGGTTAATGATAAATGAAAAACTTTACAATTTATACTGCATGTTGTTTCTCTTTATAATATTTTATCAGTGTTAAAGAAGTTAAGTGAACTTTCATGCTCAACGAAAAGCTATTATTTATAATGTACATTACATATTGCTTACCCTCAGCATGTGCTAAAGTAGGACAACATGCAATAGGATAAAATGAACAGCTTATTCAATAAACATGAAAATATCTTCTTCTGTTGTTAAGGCATCATCACTTAAAAGTAATTACTTGATTTCTTGTTTTCCTTTATGATTTGTTTCAGTCCAATTAACATGTTGTTTATAAACAAATTACTGTAAGAACCTGCTTGTGTACCATCTACTAAATTTGATATCTTACAAATTATTTTCAAGCAAAAGATAAAGAAACACTTTAAAGATTTTAAAATTAAAACTACTTGTTGTCATTTGATGTCATTTGTCTCTAAAATATGTGCATCACTCAAGGAATATGAAAACTGTCATATAATAGATAATATTTTATAATTTTATATTCGCTTTTGGGGGATAATATTAGGTCCTCAAGAAATTAATGTTATGTTTTGGAACACCTTCATTAACCACCTCCCAAAAATCATACATCACGTATAATAGTTAAACGAACCACCTAAACATCACGTTAGTGTAGCCTATATAATGTGTAAAGTTTAATATACTCTAATCCCTTATAGTGATGGCACACAATGAGACACACATTCGGCATATAATGCTGTTTGAATACAAGAAGTGAAACAACACCTCTGTAGCCACAAAGAATATCAAAGAAGTTTATGGAAATGTTTGAACATTTGTAAGTGTCAACAGTGGTTCAGCAAATTTTGTTCAGGTGACTTTAGCCTTGAAACTGTGATGGTAGGGGCCCACTTGTTGAAATTGATATCGATGCTCTGAAGATGCTTGTTGAGTCTAACCCAAGGCAACACACTCGTGAAATGGCCCTGAAATTGTATGTCTCTTATGAAACAATATGTAAACATCTAAGGAATATGGGAAAACTCCAGAAAGAAGGTGTTTGGGTGCATCATGAGCTCTCTGATGATCATCATTTCCAACGTGTGAATGTTGCTTTGTCTCTTCTGGCATGTAATGAGCGTAAACCATTTTTGGACAGAATTGTCACAGGTGATGAAAAATGGATTCTCTCTGCAAATATTAAATGCCAAAAACAATGGCTCAGTCCTAGACAAAAACCACTTCCGACCTCAAAACCTGGACTTCATCCACATTTGGTGGGACATCAAAGGAGTAATTCATTTTGAACTACTTAATCCACAGTGAACTGTCAATGCAGAGATCTGCAGTCAGCAACTGGAATCTTTAAATCAAGCCTTTCATCAGAAACTCCCTTCACTTGTCAATCGGAAAGGTGTTCTTCTACACGACAATGCACATTTGACAAGATTATGGAGTTGGGTTGGGAAATTCTCCCCCACCTACCATATTCTCCACATAAGGCACCATCAGATTAGCATCTTTTTCCTTCACTGCAACACCATCTTAATGGGAAAACATATGCAATTATGGAAGGTGTTAAAGAGGACATCAACATGTTTTTTTGCTTCAAAGCCAAGTGATTTCTTTAATCAGGGCATTAAAAACCTGATTGTATGATGGAAAAGCATCATTGATAAGAATGGAGACTATTTCATTTAATAAATGTTTTGTTTTGATATATAACTTGTTTGGGTTTTTTTCATCTAAAAAAAAGTGACATTAATTTCTTGACGACCGTAACTCTATATGAGGTCGGTTGATTTTACCAACCTCTTAACCACCATACAAAATTAGGAATGATACTAAATTTTCCCTATTTTCTTTCTGGAGTGACTGAAAATTATAACAGAAAACCACAATTGTTCATTCTAAGTAGCTTAAAGCTTGTAACAGTATACATCTTTTTATACTTAAATTTTATTGTTTTATTGAACTGTGTCTAACTAATATTCATGCCATATAAATTGCAAATCATATGGGGAACATGCAGCTCACATTATGGTATCAAATTACACAATGCACATACTATTACAAGCATACCTCATAAAATTATTATTATTTATTTTACTTTATCTAACCTAACATTTTAGTTACTTTTATAATAATAAGTAGAGAATATGCATAAAAAAAACAAGAAATAAAGTACTCACCTGGATTTTATTCTTTTTTGCTGTCAACTGTTGGTGAAACTTAACCCTACTTTTTTATGGTGCATTAAATAATTTTTATCTAATTGAATAATGCACCAAAGAACACAGAATAATATGTGAAAAGGAAACGATGTTCCATAACTATATAAATTTTCCTTGTTTTCTAACTGGGACAAAAGCTGTTAAAAATTCAGCTAAGCTTGTCGATGTGTTTCTGTGGGAATAAAGTTTGAACTGGAAGGAAAATAGACAATTATCTGTACAGAATACATAATGTAATGTATCATTTGATAGAGAAAAACTTTGGCTTTCTATTGGTTATAAATACTATAATCTTATTTGTCAGAGAGAACTATTGGCAAGTTCTGAAAGAGAGGATATGACAGGTGGGCATGGCAAGAAGGGTCTGATTTTCTATTTTATTGCTGTGTAACTAAATAAAATTGAAGGCTATGTAAATTATGCTTTGCCTGAGTGACGATGACAGTATAATGAGTAATTCATGTTAAAGTTTGTACGTCTTGGAGGGTTGGTAGAAAATTTAGAGAAGAGGGAAGACAAGAATAACAAATGTCACTGTTCTCATACTAGGGGAGATTGAGAATTTTTTTAAAAATATTTCCTTATAAAATTAAGAACTTAAAACTTTAACACTAAACTTTGGTTTATTATCTACGTTCTGATGCTGAGTTTATTCATATACATTGATAATGAAATAGTTTAATTAAATTTTGAATTTAACTCTGTGAAAGGTTGTAAAATGCACACTTTGACCTACTCATTTTGAAGCGTGTATTTGGTGCTTGGTGGGTCAAATCTCATGCTTTCCTGACAAATTATCATATATATATGGGGCCCAGGAGTTTGGGTTAACTAGAACCCTGTGTATATTGATTAGTTTATCACTGAAAATATGTCTTCTGTTGGAAAATTAGTTTGCAAATGGCAATGGACATTCACCAAAATGAAGAAGAATTTATTTTCAAATGAATATTTCTCTCTGAGAGGTGAACCAATGAGAACAACAGTTGTATTCTTCAAAAGCTCTAGTACTAATTAAATTATCATTGAAAATTAATTTAAGTGTTTTTTTTTTTATCATTTGCCAAATACTGTGATGATCAAAAAATTCATGAATTTCTTAACGATAAACTTCAGATTTTAGGGTTAAATTACAAAAACAAAGTATTATGGTAAGTTTATTTTTATTTTACTCTCTGAATAACAGATTTAGACTCTTCAGGGAACATTGTGTGTGCATCAGTGGAAACTATATCAAAGATCTGAGCATCCTAGGTCGTGATCTCTCAAAGACTGTTATTGTGGATAACTCACCACAAGCCTTTGGCTATCAGGTACAAATCAGAATATCTAACCAAATATTAAAATGTAAAATGCTGAATACTGAAACACAATTTCCCTTTATTTATTTAAGTTTTTTAACAAAATACATATGTTTGTAAAAATCAACAACAACTTGACACAATGGAAATGTTTCCAGTTCAGTACTTTCAGGGAAATTTATAAGAAACGTTATAATAATGTTTGCAGTTAATTTTGTATACACTACTCAAATAAGTTTAGACTCAGTGTTATCCTGTCCTGGTTCTATTGTAATGTCCTACATGTATTTGTTATTTGCTTCTCTGTAATGTGTTACAGTATCTTCATCCTCTTTAAAATACCTAAAGCAGTGGTTCTTAACCCTTGAATTGTGACCCAAAACTGGGTTGGAAAGCCATTTTGAGTGGGTCACCAAGGGTCTCCAGTGGCTGTCTGAACTTTCCTTTACAGTCCAACAGTAACTGCACGAAGAGGGTCTATTTGAAAGCATGGGTTGCTGAGCTAGCCCCACAGCCAGAATTTGGGGTTGCAGGCAAAAAAAAGTTAAGTACCACTGACCTAAAAGCTACAAGAACAATAATATCTGTAGTTTTTATTTTTGCCAACACCAGATATTTTTTTTATATTAATTCCAAAGAATATCAGTGCGACATGAAGTACCTAACACTAATGCTGGAACATAAACTGTCTGTTGACTAACAGGTGACAGTAAGATGAATTGTTATGTCAGTTCACAATAATACCTTCCACACATTTAAGAAACCACATTTAGGCTGGGTGTGGCTAAGTGGTTAGTGTGCCAAGACTGTGAATCAAAGAATCCATGATTCATTACTTGTTGCTGCAAGAAACACATTGAATTTTTGGGTTATGATTTTGCTTTAAGATTGATGGTCAAATCTCACAATTGGGTCAGCCAAGATTTGGCTGCCTGTACTGTTGCTTAGTTGCCTTCCTTCTAGTTTGTCTGTCTCTTCATAATTAGGATGGCTCTGAACTTATAGCCCTTAAGACAAAAATTATGAAACAAATAGTTATTAGCATTTCTCTCTCACATGTAACATCAAGGGGGCTGTGGAAAATAGAAACCCGAGAAGAAAAGTTGCTATTTCCAGTGCTGAAATATAATGTTGCCAAATTATCCTAGACGTGGAAGGACTTCAATTAACAGAGATGTTAAAATGGCAAATTAAAAAGACAGTTAATGAAGTAGGTTGATCCTTGATGTTACTATAACATATCTACTCTAACACATTTTTAATCAGCTTTGAAGGGAAACATGATTAAAGGGAAATAATGAAAAATGGTAAGAAACATTTGCCGGTGGAAGAAATTATTTAAACTCGAAAATTTACATATTTATCAAACACAGAGTTAGCAAATTACGTTTCATATAAAACATTGAGTAAGTAATTCTGTGTACACAAGTAGCTTTTCTTATTAAAATTTGTACTAAAAGTCAACTGTTGAAGTAAAATTTATCCTGTCAGTTTTATCAAATCAAGAATATTTTCGTTTCTCTTCTAGCTTGAAAATGGCATCCCAATAGAAAGCTGGTTTGTTGACAGAAATGACAAAGAATTGTTGAAGTTGATACCATTTTTAGAGAGCCTTGTTGCTATGGTAACTAACTTGATTTCATATAAGCCTCAGTTGTGTCCAAGCTATGTTAACTTTGGTTCAAATATTAATATTGTATTTTATATCTTCCATTTAGAGATTTCTATCAATATTATTTGATGTAAGTTGATAACTAGTTTTCTGGGAAAAGTATCACAAATTTATTTTTTAAGGAGTTTTATTGAAAAGACTAGCATACAGTAGTACCTAGAGGTAACTTAACTGAACTCAGCTGTTGCATTTAATGTTGTTGTATATGTAAATATTTAACTGTGTGTCAACTGTAACATATAGGTTTGATAACTTTAATGGACTGCAACTGCCTGTTGAATAAAACGGAGATGACGTTTTGGTGTCTAGACTGAAGCCTCCTTAAGGTCAGATCTAAAGAAGGCCTCAGTATAGAAGATGAAATGTGACATTTCAAATAACCATTTAAAACTAGCTTCAACCCAACTAGATAGAGTCTAAGGAATGGTTACAAATTAATGAGTAACATTTTGCATTTATTGTCATTAACCCTTGTTTTTCTTCCAGTTTTATCAAAAGTTCTTAAGCACTTCAATATTGATGATTAATGTCAACTCTCAATAATACTTTATATATATACATAGTATTTTTCTTATTTCTTGATTTTATACAAGCCTACTTCATTACACATCAGTACATAATCTTTTAAGTGCATAATACTAAATCTTAACTGTAATGTAAAATTATTCATAAACTGTATCTAAATTCATAACATTGCTATCTTCCAACAGTTTTATTTGAAAAACTGCGTGTATATTATGTTTTCAAGGGCAGAATTTTGGAAATATCATAATTATGACTTTATTCTGTTTGTAGTCATGAGTATTATATTGAAATTAATGTTAAAGTGTAATAATTTAAAATATTGGCCTAGTCGCAGTCAGTTATAGTTTTTAACTAGGCTGATTAAATATTTCTTTGCATATTAAGTATAGATATATCATTCAGATAACTTTTCAGTATATATATACATATAGTTATTAATAATAATAATAATACCAACTGAATATTCAATAAAATAATATAGCAAGAGGCAAAGATACAGAATTCAAATCGAAATACTGGTTTGTACATATCTTCAACTCATTGTGAAAAAAGGTGTACAAACTAAAAAAATTAGCTTGAATGTTTGATCAGAAAAAAACCCTAATAACTCAAGTGATTTTGGAAGGCGAACTTTCCTTCATTAAGGATGAAATGACAAATGACCTTTGTTAAGAACGTTGTCTGGTTATGTAGTCATTTTATCAGAAGTGAGACATCATGCGTTTCTAAGAATTATGAAAGAATATTGTTTGTGTATGTGATGGGAAAAACAAGGAGGAAGCTCAGAGATACAAAATTTGTTTGTGCAAGAAAATATACAAAACAATTGGGAGATTTAACAACAAAATCACTAAATGAAACAGGAAGTGGATGAGTGAAATATAAATAAGAAATTTAAGAAATGAAATCCAATAATAATAATACATGTATAAATGAGCAAATGAAATTAGTAGATATTAAATGAAAATCATAATACATAGATAAAAAATAATTTTAATTAAGAATAAAGAGTTCAAACATTATTCATTCAATAGTAAAGATATTTGTTTCAAAATAGGGTTTTCTAAGATTTTTCAAAAATTTTTAGTTAAAAGACAGGAGTCACTACTACAGGGGTTAAGTTTCATACTATGTGGTAGTCATGGTTATCATACCTTTTAGTCTTTCTATAATATTCCCAGACATTAGTTATCTATAACACTTCAGTTTTACCACTGTAAGCTTGTACCTTCAGATTGAAACATTTCTCCATAAGAAACTAACCGTACTTTATGGTATTGTTGGACTGGAAATTAGTGAAAAGTGACTTCCACGTGTTGCTAGCTCATCTTTCCCATGAGAATATAGAGTGGTCAATTTGCAGTCGTGTGTTTGATTGATTCAAGTTGAAGAAGCATCACTTCTTTGTTCTCTTACAGGATATACGTGTATTTTAGTCTTTGTACTTGGGTTAGCTTTGTCCTGGTTGTCTGATCATTCGTCTTTTTTATTGTGCAGCAAAGCCAACTCCATCTATTGTTGGGTTAGCTAGTAAACAATAGTCAATCAAATAAACAGTATTATTCCATGTTCAACTGTTTTAGCATGCACAACATTTTTGGTTCCTTCTTGTATTGCATCACCTAACCTGTTTTTGTTTTTACATCTTAAAATTCATCTCCATCATGAGTTAGTTTGTACACTGAAATGAATTGCCTTTATTATTCAAACATCAGTGCCAGCTAGATTTTAGTTACTGCAGTTTGACTCATCTGTGTGTAATAATTCTTTACTTAAGAATACTACAACCATATGGGGTGACAATGTTTAATATGTTTGCAGTGTAAGTGATTTCTCTAATTATGCAATAGGAACGTAAGATCTCATTGTGAACTTTGCCTTAGATACAGCTAATGTTATGGCTTTATGTTATGTTTTTTGACAGAATGATTGCATTGGAAACTTTCTCTTGAGTGCACCACTGGTGGTACATGATGTCCTGTCTTTACCCATTTAAGCTTTGGCTGTCATGTGCCACTGGTGGTTGCACACTATGATTTAAGTAATAATAATCAAATGATCATAATATTTAATATTTTTTCCTTTTTTTTTCAGCTTAATCTTGTCGTTTTTTTAGAAGAAATATGAATATTTCACAATTTTATGGGTATAAAAAAGTGACATCAAATAAAATAATCCCTACTGTGGATGATAATAGTTCTATCCTTATTATATTACAGTCTTCATAACAGTTTTCTTATTTATGAAAAAAGTCTCAATTAGTGTTTTTTTGCTTCAGTTACTCACAACGAAAAATTTAATGCCAATCTCTAGATGTAATTTGAAAATATAAAGTGATTTAATCATATAAATTTGTTTTATTTCTGTTGTCCTTTCAACATGGCATTCGTGCTCCACAAGTAGTACATGATGAAAGGCGTGGCTTTATTATAGTCATCCTTATAAAATAAATGCTTCATATAGGACTTTCGAGATATGAGGTACAGTTATATCTAAAGGGTGCTCTGTACCACCGGTGGTGCACAGTGTTGTGAACGTGTTAAAATACTAATCCAGTAGGTCTCTTTTGTTTCTCTGTTGACTTTTGGTTTCAATCTCGGTGAGAATCACGTTACTGATGAAAGTGTTAAAGCATAAGCAGTAGGATGGGTCTCTGTTTTTAGTCTTTATAGAAGATTTATGATTGCTAAGCTGTTCTTTAAGGATGGTCAGGGTTTGTCCAACATACTGTCTAACAGAATTTTAGGTTTATTTATATGCATGTTGATTATAAGTCAAATAGATGTAATTATCTGTATAAAATTCATTAATTAGGCCTTACATGGAATGCTGTGTACAGTTTTAGTCTCCTTATCTAACAAAGGATATTGTCTTATTGGAAAGGGATTAGAGTGGCTGAGTTACTATGATATTCTGGGGAATGGAAGGGTTATCTTATGGGTATACGTTAAGTTTTTGGATCTTATTTCCTATTAAGAAAAGAAGGGTAAGAGGTGATCTTATTGAAGTTTACAAGATTATCTGGTAGATCAATAGGATAAAGTCCTCGGATTTCATTGTGCTATACTCTGAAAACAATAGAACTAGAAGACAGAAGTTTAAGATTTGTGAAAAGTCTGCCTAAGCACCAGTTAAGTGTTTTATTTTTCTGCCAGGGTGATTGGCTTAAAGAATGAGTTGCCAATGATAGTGGTGGAGGCTAGCAGTTTACAAGAATTTAACAGAGGAATCGGTAATGTCCTGAAAAATAAAGTTTACTTTAAGTTCTTACTTTTTCTCAAGGGTGGGGGTTGATGGAATCCTTAAAAGATCGAACATTTCCTTGTTATGTTACTTAGAAGCACATACATTTACATGGGTAACTAGAAAATATAAAACATTATGTTAAATAATTATATTGAATACTAAACTGATATTAAAATGTAAATCAATATTCTAACCTTTATATATCATTAGTTTTGCATCAAAGTAATTCAAAGTGGAAGAAATTATTACTGCACTTGAAATTCTTTGTTGGTCATGAAGTAATATTAGGTTGCATTAAAGTAATTCAAAGTGGAAGAAATTATTACTGCACTTGAAATTCTTTGTTGGTCATGAAGTAATACTAGGTTGCACTGAATGGGACAATTTACTAACTTTTGTATTTGTTTCATATACCAGGTTTGAATTTTACAACTAGTGTTATTAAATGTAGCTAAAGTATTTAATTTCTTTAGAGGACAAAGCAGAGATGAATTAGCAAAAATTTATTACTGTCTTCCATCATAACATAATTTACTCTTACTCTGTTAAGCCTCCTAAATAATGTTTTCATTTGTTCTATAAGATCTTGCTATGGAAAACTGTTATTGTGACACATGCTTGTTTACTTGTGCATTCCTTAGTTTCGAACATGTTTAAGGTTTGTGTATTTTGGATAGCTATTTTCAGGCACTAATGTATCTTGTATAAGTAAGTCATTTGTGAAATTTATTAGCCTGGTGACTAATCATTCTTAATAACTATGAAAATCAAACATGTAAACATTGGATAAGTCTTACATTAAAGTATCTTAAAACATTTCTAAATTTGGTTTGTTTTTTTTGTTTTCAGAATCAAGATGTTCGGCCACATATCTGTAACAAGTACCATTTAGCTAGCTTTCTTCCGCCCGATTAACCCATCCATAACCAGAAGCCCACTGTTCATGAGAGAATATCATCGCACTGTTTTGGAATCAATGTTGTCTGTTTTGTTTTATTAATAGATAAAGGGTGCTTTCTGTTGGATAGTGTTAAAAAATCTTTGCTTTCATACATATATCTTTAAATGCATATGTATTTAGGTTCACATGACACTGTTTGAATTTCATTTTGTCTTAGGTGAATTGCACAAATGAAAAAGGATTTATACATGAAATATACCTTTTGACATTCTAGCAAAACTGTAGAACCATAAATATGTGATCAATCAATCCATTGAAGTAGAAAAATAACTGGTTTTGTAACACTTGGACCATTTTCATGATCAGTCTTTCATCACAGAAGATATCCAGATGGGAAAAAACTGACTTTTAGAATGCCTTGTATACCTATATATATATATATTTAGGTAGTGTTTATAGGTTTTAGTCATCTGTTTAACCTAACAAATTTTGGTATAATAATTGATATGATCTGTAGACCAGTTAAGAATCTTCTTATAATCTAGTTGGGTGAGTATATAAAACCACACAATCTTTAAATATCACAACGTAACACTGAACCTTTGTGTTTTTAAATAACCAAGATTAATGTCCTCAACAACAAAAGATGGTAAATGTATATAAATTTTAAAATCTTTTAATTCATGTAGGTTTTTTAATCCCAATGTAATTAAAATATATACTATGATACCTACAGTCTCATTCTATGAAAAATAGTCTTTGTACAAAGTAAATTTTCTTACTAAAAGCATTTGTACATATACAACTTTGGACTGTGACTAAGTGTAAAACCTCCTTCAACAAATGTTTAGATAGATAGTTAGGTGCCAGTTTTTCAGCAAAAAAAAAAAGAACTCTTTATTGCCTTAAGGCATAAGATATATGTATCTTTGTTCATTCTGTAGAAGTATTTTTATCTTGAAATGTACAAATATAAAGTCCTGAAAGAACTTGAAGTGTTTTGAATTCACAACTGTTCCATTTGAAATGTTCAAGTACTCAGTTATAGAACAATATTTTGCTTAAATACACTAATTAATAGATAGCACGAGAATATTTTCTGTGATGTCATGAGGTGAAGAAATATGATATTCTGTGATTTCAGGTACTTTAATAAGCATTTTTTAGTGATAAAGAAAGAAATATGCAAGAAAGTTGCTCACTACTGTGACATTAACCATTGTGTTCCTCTATCTCTTGGTCTTTTCAAGATATGTTAGCATAAATCTATTCTTGTTTTAATTGTCATAAATAACTTAATTTTCCAAAACTGCATTTAAGTTTGTCAGTAGTGTATTATTCATAATTTTATGAACCGCAAAATTATACATTAAGTTCTGGTAATGTTTATTAAATTTTCAGCTGGTTTTGTAACATGCAGCTGGGATACATGGCTTCTACCTTACTTCTCTAACTGGCAACAATAATATTGTTTAGAATAAATACTGATGAATACATGACAAATGCTTGGCTGCACTCGGTGGCACAAATAAGCATTACTTTACTTTCTTGGGCAACCCTGGTAAAAGATGATTATAAGTCTGAAAAAAAAAACTGGTCACCTGGTGTGTTTTTTTTTTTCCTTTGGGAAAACAATTTTTTAATGTGGCTTAACATTTGGGTTCATATCATTAATTTACAATGTTATTTTTATTTTTTCATCTTAATATATATACATTTGATTTTTAAAACTGACATATTTTATACTATTTCCAATGCTGAAAATGCATCAATTTCCCATGAACGTGTGTATGCATTTATATTTTTACTTTTTATTTCTCTATTTTATTACTGGACATCTTTTTGATTTTTAAATGTAATATTTCTTTAGGAAGTATTGTTTAAGACACTAACTTCTGTTATTCATTTGAGTCTGTTTTTATGATATATCTGGAATATTTATCATAAATACATAAAGTGTAGTAAAACTTGCTCAAAAACATATCTATCAGTCAGTGCTACTATGCTTTTGCACAAACAATTCAAATTTCTTAGTATGTAACAGATTATGAAAAATTGTTTGTCGTGAAAAGTTACTTTTTTTCTATATAAAATCTTATCACTTAGGTATTAAGTGTATATTAGAATTTTTTATTCAAACCTCAAATTTATTTGTTTTACAGAATACTTTAACTTCTTCACTGTGTGTATTTGTTTCTTTTGTTCAAGATGTAAAATTTGGCTCAATGGTTTAAATATTTCATTTTATAAGCAGTCTTTCAACATAGCTCTTACCCACATTTTTAGAAGACTTGCTATTTTATACTTTTGAGCACTAATGGGATCAAAGCAGTCGCTGGAGGATATTTTGTTTTTCCATAAAAGCTGCTGTCTTATACTGCTAAAAATGTTCCTCAGAAAAGTATGGTATTTTAGTGTGCAGAGCTCATAAGAAAGCAGTGATTTTTGTCATTATTAAAAGCCTAAAAATATTAATGGAAATGGTGCATATGAAATTTATTTTATTCAGCATTAAACATATGGCTTGTTGGTTTAAAGAACTTTGTGTGTGGACTTACCATTTTAGATATTTAGAATAACTGTTGTGTTTTTAGCCATTTAAAGTAATCATAGAAAAAATTTTATCAAGATTATTAATATACAGTGTACATCAATGTTGAGTGAGAACTTGGAGATGCATTCTTAAAAAAATTATCTGAAGACAAACTAAAATCCTTTATTCAAGGAAAATCATATTTTTGTCAAAAGTATATATTACTCCATTGTAGTAAAGAAGTTAGCATATTAATAATATTAGAAGTTGACAGATTAGCTAGTTTATTAAAAGGCATTTTTAGAATATGTAAGGGAATAAGTAGTTTTCTGTAAAGCCGACTCTTCAGGTATTGGGCTAATCAATTTTTTCAATTAGGTAGTAAGTGAAAAGGGTAAGTGAGCTGATGAAAGAATAGTAATATTCCAACACAGAAATTAAAGATGGTTTATTTTTGGAACTCTTCAACTGTAAGCTGCTTAGGGTTCAAACCAAAAATAATCCTTGTGCATAGGTGTATGTTGATTTTGTCATTGCACAGTGAATTGTACCTGTGTACAAAAAAAACAAACATATTTTGCAAAGAAATAAATGTTTGTTGGCAATTGTGACTGGCTGAATTATTTTCAAAAGTAAATTGTCCAACTTTAAATTGTGCATAGGTCATAAAAGTTACTAAAGTACAATATTTTATGTGAGATATCCAGCATCGTGGCTGGACACTCTACTTATATATTGTCTCATAACTAACCAGAATTGTCCTCACAAACAGCCAAATTATTATGAAAAGTACCATTTTTGTGGATTCTGATAATAGGAAGATAATCTACTGTGGAGATATAACCTTTCGTTCAATACATTTTACAGTTAGATATAACACACTAAATAAAAGCAGAGGAAGAGTGAAGATGGAAAAGCACATCTTAAAGCCATTGTAGAAACCAAAACAACTTGGAGCAAACTGCTTTGAAAATACAATATTTCTAGCATGCAGCTGCTTATATTGTCCCCAGCCTTGACTGAATAAAGGTTATCATAATATTAAGAAAGTATGAAAGGTTAAAAAAGAAATTGCAAAACAAACCCAACTGAGTACACAAGTTTGCCCTCAGCAAGCTTAACTACTATTATGTATATATGATAAATACACACAATATATATGTATTACAGACATTTAACAAACGTTCTAGATATTAAAAGTCTAACAGGAATTATCAGATTTGGTGTTGCAGCAGCTGTACTTGTATGTTTAAGGCTTCTGAAAGATGACACCACTAAACTTACAATAATGAGCTTTTATTAAGAAATACAGGATGTAGTTTTTACATAATTTGATCTCAAGGTATAGAAGCTGTCCATCACATATTATTCTTATCACCCAACCATAAATGTTATGGGTGGAGATCATGCCATCTGAATTTTGTTTTTGGCAAACACATATTTTGTTGAAGTGTTTGTTGCATATAATATAGTTTTTAATCCATCTGACAATGTTTTACAGGTGGCAGCACTGTTTCTCTCAACGAGTAGCTTCTATTGACTGTTAGGCTGGTGTGGACACCAAGAAACTGTAAATACTGGCAGTTACCTAATTTATGCCAAAATTTTAGGTTAAAATTATTCTTATAGAGTAGGTACTGACAATTAGAATAGCTTCAGTAAAGAAATCAAAAATGTGAAGCTATATTTTATTTATTTTAGCTACGTAATGATGTTAAATAAACCAGCCAGTTCTAGAATACAACCATTAAACATAAATGTATATATATATATATTGACACACACACATACATATCCGACTGATCTGATATTTCATCATAAGCTTAAGTACAAACACAGTATGTAAATATTCATCAAATCAACCCTTCAGTTTTTGTTTTATGTTGGTATTTTATCTGTAAGCTAATGATGAAAACAACTAAATGGCTAAGGTTACAGGTTAATTCTTTACTTTATATTTGTTGCTCTCATCTACAGCTAAAACTATATCTTAATTTTTCCAAATATATTTCCATTTCATCTAAATTATGGTTACATTTTAAACACGTACACATGCTAAAATACATTACCTAAAATGTATGGAGTTTAACGTACATCTCTGATTTGAATTTTGTCAAAATATGCAGGGAAATGTTTAACAGAACCATAAGGCATTGTTGCCTGTTGGTGACAAGACATAAGTTAAACTTTTGAATTATAATCTCTCCCAATTATCTATTTTATGTATTACATAAATTATTTACAACTTGTATCACATATATTTATGGTTGCTAGAAAAACTTCAGAATATTAGTAACGAAGAATTATTATGTACGTTATTATGTATTTCTATTATAGAAAGAATCTTTTATACAAGTTGCTCTAAAGCATTTTTCAATCTACTGTTTCGGCCAGAATAGCACTTTATGTTCATATATGAAAATAAAATAAAAATGTTCAAACGTTTTTCAAAACTACCCTACATGTAGATTAGGCCCTATGATTGCCAAGGTTATGAAATATATTTTTAAATCATCAATCTCAATCAACCACACAAAAATATTGCATATTTTAGGTATATCAAGTGAAATAGTAACTTTAATAAAAGGTATAAAAAATAAAATATTATTATTAATAGAAACAACTTTCATTTTAATAGTGTTACGTCTCTGTTCGTTTGTTAATTTCCGGTATAAATTCTTTCCGAGGAACTTCAGCGATAAAAGTCCTTTCTTAAATAAAACTAGTTTATTCTTTCTCGATACAACTATGTAATACGCAGAATTTCCACAGGCACTTTAACTTCACTACTTTTATAAACACACACTATAATTCACAGCGATTCACACACTTTACTTACGGTGCCTACTGTTCGCTTCACTCAATTATCTATATCTATCTATCTATGCAATTCTATCTTTTTTCGCTGGCTTTATTTGCCGGGCTTATGTACTAAAACAGAGAGCGCCTGGAACAAACTAGAGTTGCTAGGAAAATTCATGATCCTTCGAGAAACTCCAGCGCGCATGCTCCCAGCGTTGCGTGACTTCCGCTGCCGTAACAATAGTCTTTTGTAACTGAATGATTATTAATAAAGCTATATACTTAACATTTACAACTTGCAATTTTTTTACCAATAATTTAAAACAATATTACTTTTTATTGTTGATTACCAAAAAACAAAAAGGTCAAAAGCTAGTTAGTGTATCAAAAATATATTTTAAATAACTGTACTAAACCATGGTCTTTCGGTACTGTATATGTTAATGTGCATAACAGTATATTTTCCTACAGAATAGAACAAACAAGTGAGATATAATGAAAATTGTTTATCATTGCTATAGTCATTAACTTTTTATGTTATCAAATAACTGTATTAACTCAAATTTCATTTCGGTTATCCCATCCATAATTAAAACCTTACATATTTACATAACATTAATTTTGATATCCTGCTGTTTCTCTGTCTGTGACAAATTTCCCATAAAGCATTGTTAAAATAAGTTTTAATAATATATGTAAAACTATTTTGTAAAGTTTTTTAATACCACTTTGTCACATATAAACCAACTATTATAAATCTTTTACAATAACTGACTAGTGGTAATGAAAGCATTTACAAAACATTACAATTTTTCTCAGTCTTCTCAACAATGCCCACTTCTTCATTCTTAATTGCAGCAAATACTTGTGCTACCACCTGTTGTTACGATTATTAAAAATAAAAACATTATTCGTAGATCACATAAATATACGTATCTGCATTTTTTCAGGTTTTCAAAAATAACTTAGTAAATAGCGTTATTTTTCCTTTATTACTCAGGAGTCATTTAACTATTTCTTAGAAAAATAAAGATACAGGACAAAAAATTATATAAATTCCTACCAGATGACAAAAACAAGCACAGAAATAATATACACTTTTTTGATTAAGTTTAAATATTGTCTATTTACAATACAGTTTGAAACATACATTTTTGAAAAGTTCATTAATGATAACAGTCTGTAACCCCAATCTAACAAACTACATTTGATCTAATCCAATTGATTACACTAGCAGATAGCCCTCGTGTAGCTTTGCGCGAAATTCAATACAAACAAACAAACATTATTCGTTGGAGAAAAATAGCCCAAGATCTGGCGATCGGTAATGTTGATTAGCTGTCTTTCTTCATGTTTATGACTTCAAAATTAAGGACGGTTAGCACAGATAGCCCTCGAGCAGTCACATACAGACTAAGTACTTGTCCGTGTAATAAAAAAAAAAGTCAGAGAAACTAAGTGCCTGTCCATCGGGCTAAAACAATAACAATGATCACAGAAAGACTAAATGCCTACCGTCCTCATAAAACAACGAAAATTACGAAATATCTGTTAATCTAACAAAACACAGAGAAATTAAATACTTGTACTTCTTCTAATGTAAAAGTTGCGTAAACATTGTATTTGCTTACAGAATCATCATAGTAACATACTACATTTAAAAACAGCTGTACAGCTTTCCCATGCAATATTTTAATTTGCTATAGTTAGGCATGGTTAGGGCGCTCGACTCGTAATCTGAGGGTCGTGGGTTCGGTTCGAATCCCCGTCACACCAAACATGCCAACCTCCGCCTTTGCCTGTTCCCAAGTCCAGGAGGAGGGTTGGGCGCGGGGCTAGCAACTCCACCCCGTAAAAACCAAACCTGCTACAAGTAACCGCAACAACAACTTTCCGTTGGTGAGGTGTTGTTACGGCCTTATGTTCCACTGGGAGTTTACAGAAATAAAAAAAAATAGTTTTACGTGAGAAAAACTAGAAATGTTTATTACTTTTTATAAGACAACTCTCTCTGTTGTTTT